GTGCTTTACGTGCCTTTCGGTTGATCACCCATCCTTGTTATCGTGAAAGTATCTTAACAACCGTATCGTACACCGAGCGTGCTAATTACTACGCCATCGAGCTCCTGTGAGTATCAACTAGCATATTTTTTTTTTATTAACTATACAGTTAAATAATCTTCACTGTCAAGAGTACACACGAAGCTGAATACCAAATTATTATTAATCCACGAAATTAATAGTTACAGTAAATGGATATCAAATCTACAAATTTTAACGTTATAATTTCAATTGGATCTCAACTACTTGCATTTTGTAATAGCACTATCTACCTGAAGTTTAATATATGCATCGTCTTCCTCATAAGTCCATGGTGACAGACATATTTATTATTTTCTGATCTATTAACAAGAACTGTGCCATTAACTGTTGCAGTTGGAGTGCTATTGACTTTCCATAATTACGCTAAGCTCAGTGGCGTAGTGGGCTTCCGCCCGCGGTCATGGTTGCTAAGCAATTTTCGCAAGGGTCGGTCGCGGGATGGGTGACATAAATAATCTCAAGCCACATCGTGTTTCGGAGGGCACTTTAAACCTTTGATTCCGGCTGCATTTGCAATCGTTAATCTTCAATCCGTATTGGACCAGCGTTATGGCCCGTTCTCCTTGATCATCCATAAGAAAGGCCTGAGCCCCTGCAGTGTAGAAGTAAAAGGGCTGATAATGAATTACGCTAATATTATCACAATTGCCCACTGGTAACGTTAATAAAACAATTTAGCTTGTACTCTAATCTAACTACCTGTTAACAATGTAACGTAAGCCAGTCGGTTACGTAATGAGTTAATACCCGTATTTTATGATAATCTCTTGGTCTACGATGACACGACTTACTAAACACGATAATGCTGTTGTTTCGTTTATAACGTATTAGTGTTCAGCCTTGTAGTTAGTGGCTATCCCTTTAAGTGACCAAGAGAGATTAAATTTGGAATATATATTTTCAACTTCTCAATTTCACTGTATACTGGCAGTTACTCACGACTTCGCTCGTGTAGGTGGAAAAACTTTTGTGATTAGGTCAGTAAATGCGAAGATTTCCTCCTAAATTAAAGACTTTGATTATTAGTATATTAAACAGATTATAGATTTAATGTGATTACATTTAAATACTACAAAACTTTTGATGAATTCTTCTTTTATCTTTACTAATATTATAAAGAGGAAAAATTTGATTGTTTGTTTGTTGATATAGGCTAAGAATTAGGCGTGCGAAGTCGCGGGTAAGCAGATAGATTAAATACATGTTGTAAAAAGCCTCTCGATATCATTTCTTTTTAGAAAATATATATTTTAATAAAGAGGTTGCTGTTTTTTTGTTGTTAAAACTACCGATACGTTACAACATTGCATACTCTCGTATTGAAACTTTTTTTATGAAGAAAACTATACATATTTCACATACCCTGCACGGGGTAGGAAGGTTAAGAGGGATTTTATCTGTGGACTCATCTAGTGGAAGCAGGTTAAAAAGCACACGCACACTACAGCCCAACACTAAACATAGAACAGTAAACAGTCAGGGTATCTTTCCGTTATATATTTTTATCTACTAATCAGCATATTTTTTGACTTATCTTTTCCCGGACTTTTGATTTGCGTAAAGTCCGGCGTTACATGGCGGAAGCATATTTCTTTTATACTCTATTACTTAGACGTCACGTTTTCTCGTATCCCGAATTAAGTGGATTTTTTATCACTTATTTAATAGAAATCCGAAAGATATCACAACACCCAGATCCAACACGATGCAGAACAACTAATTTTCTACATTGACCCGACCGCGGCTCGGCTAAAATGCATTCTTTAAAACATTATCCATCACAATGTCCTCAAAATTTAATTATCGATGCCTTTTAAACTAACATTTTTATTTGTAAGGTTGTTGATTCAAAATTTATCATTAATTTCATAATATATGTAGTAGGTGGCAAAGGTAACATTGTGTTGGCACAAGTCAGATTGAATTTAATATTAATCCTGTCAAATACGTTTTAGAGTATATAAACAACATAGATAATAGAAGTGACCCTATTGTATTGTGGTAGAGAGGAGCTTAGTTGGATTTCTTGGACTAACGGAATTAAACCATTATCCGATCATAATAAATAAACACGCCTCAATGGTTTCAATATGATGTTTTTCTTATGTCTTATCGTCAATTTCATTTATGTGGTTGGAAAAAAAATCTCACTAGTCCAACGATCGAACTAGTGAGAACAAAGGGTTAACTTCAGTCATCGTTTTATAATAAGACGGTCTAATCTGTGGATCTGAATAATCTTATACTTATTATTTAGTACTGCAATCAAATATTTATCAATAATGTGCTAAACTTTAGTTGGTTCAATAACAATTTTAAGTTATAATCGCCCTTACAAAAACTCGTCTTAAGTGACAAAATGTTTGAGGACTTTCAGACGGTTTCTGAATGGAGAAAAGTAAAAATCCCAACTGATTACTCTCAATTACTTATTATTATACTTTCTATTCTATTTCATTTCCATTTCATTAGAAGAAAACTATACTATACAGAATATTAGAATAACTATATATTCTACTGCATTAGAAAAACTAAAATAAGAAAGGCAAATCTGTTTAAGTCACGTTTAAGTACAATTTGAGACGTTTCAGACTTAATACTCTCAATACAGAGTGTTTGTATGTTAAATATACTTTACAATCATACACGTTGTTCAGAACTCATATTATGTAGCTAAAATCTTTGTACTCAAACAACCAAAGTAGTTACCATAAAAACCACACTCGAGAAATGTATAAAAAAGTTAATTTTCTATATTGACCCGACCTGAAATCGAACCCAGCATCATATATGACACCTTAAATCGGCATGCCTGAAACGAAAAGGTAGAAATTCTACAACGAGCGAAACGTATATAACAGTTTATCAAAGTAATAGCATAAAAAGGCTCCAGAATCGTATGTGAAGAGATTTACGTCAAAAACGATAGAGAAAAATTAATGTTTTTGAAAATCGCCTCAAAAGAATTGCCAACTACGTTTGATTTTAAAGACCAATTTCCTTTGACGTTAAATGTCTTTATTTTATTTTCTTGTATAAGATTTAATATGGTGTCGACGACCGCCGTGGTCGAGTAGAGGGTCTTGTACTCCTATTTCAAATTGATGCTGAGGTTCCTAGTTCAATTCTCGTTCAAGTCAAAGTAGAATATGGAATTTCCTATATTATATATTTCTTATATAATAAAAATTGGTAGGTACTTCTCATTGAACTATTAAATTTGGCGAGGAGCATATTTTATCTTGTATATTTTTGTAGTAATAGCTCAACAAAAAAATATGAAAAACCTTATATTTGTAGTTAAATCATTAAAAGATACAGTCTTATAATGGGGTTGAAGATGAACGTGAATATATACTATTTCAAAACATATGAAAACATTTTTCACTATAGATACAATATTTAACAGTAAGTTTAAATAATTGTTAAATATAAGTTAACAATTATCGTAACATTAAATTAAAGTCGTAAAAAAATAACATACAATATTCACTAAAATCACTAAAAAGCCTCTAAAAAGAAAACTTATTACACTTACTAACTAGAGTAATAACAATTGTGTCATAAGTTTGTATACAATAAAAAAAAAATATCTAAATGTTGTTCGACTTAATAATTTGAGAATAAAAGACCCTTCCGTTGATTAGAACTATGTTCATTGACCATGTCGTAGTTATTACCGAGTGTTTTTATTTTTACCAGTCCAGTGTTAATTTCCATAACTGAGTAGTGTGGTGCGCGGTCGCCCGTAGCGTGCTCTAGCGCAGGTAGAGGTGTGCTAGTGGTATCGATAAATTTTTACTTCCGCTACGGGTTGTGTGCACTAATATTATAAAGAAGGTAGATTTGTTTGTTTGCACTGAATAAACTCTAAAATTAAATTCGGTCACTGTTGGGAAATTAATACAGGAAATTGGGAAATTACTTCGTCCGCGTAAATTATAGCGGGTGATATTTAACGCGGACGAAGTTGTGGGAAAACAGCTAGTTCAGTACAAAAATAAATAACTTTATCGAAATTTTATTATATTAAGTAATATTTATTTATGGAATTACTATCATGTGTATCTTGTCTTTTAAGTCTTCGATATTTTGGAACTGTTCAAAGTGCCATATTGATTGATGTTTTGTGTTCACTTAAATTAACCATAAGTTTTTTTAAGTCTTAAAAATCCGAATAACATTCAGTTTTACATATTTATTAAGACAAAACCACTTTAAATTTATGTCAACGTTATATGGCTTCGCTAGGGTATGCCCAAGGCAATTAGTTCAGTTCACTACAGCGTAAATCCGCTTCAATTTAATATAACAAGACTCAGGATTGAAATTTTATGTGGTAAAATATACATTTTCGGTCGTTGATCGAGTTTACGGATAGATTTGTGTAATAAAAGAAAAACGTCATAATATTATAAGGCCATTGCTGAATGTATTTAGTTATTATTAATATAATTAATTTTCATTTAAAGATGGAGCTGTACATGTGATTTACCGCGGTATTATGTATTGCTCAAAAAAGTATAATATTAAATGAGAGTTACTATATAAAGGATGCTATTTTAGTTTTAGTTTGGAATAGAAAACTATGGTTAACATATGACGTGGTTTTATTTGCCCGTAATACCTCCTAGGACGCATATGGACGGTTTCTTATATTATAATTCTCTAATTTCTTTTGTTATATAATATGTTACATTATTAACGATTTTTTATAACTAAAATATCATAAAGAAATACTTAATATAACCGAACTGTTTTGATTAGATCAATGAATGTTTGCGTTTTAATTTTCAAATCGATAAATCCAAACAAATTGGCTGGTCACGCGATGAGAAAAATAAAAAATGTACAACTATCGATTACACGATTATGTGCTCGTGCGTCTCTAATCCACCGGCCTTCCTTGACAGCGATTCAGTGTTAAGTACATAGCGCATGCGCGCGATCGTCTGCTGTTACAGTGTCATCGCAGTAGTGGTTCGAAAATTGAATTTATATGGCAGTGGTGACACGACAATGTGGTGATTTACATTATGTGCAGGCGAGGGGCAGCGATGGAAGGACTCCTAAAACTGGCTGGGTAATGTAACGAATGTCAATCTTATTTTTAATTAATGGTGAAGTTTGTATATCACTTATTAAAATAGTATATGGTTAGATTACCTTTTAAGAATTGAAATTTATGCTTCTAATATTCTAAACGTTACGTAGTGTTACTGAAATAGTACTAATAGTACTCCATTTGAAAGTCTAACTCCTCTAGGCTTACTTAAGACATTTTATCATAAAAAACCTTCTAAAAATATATCCTTTTAAATACCACCTTGAGTTTCAGTTTTCACTTTGAAAGCTTAAGTAAACTTTGTAACGTGTTGAAGTTAAAGTAAGCTTTCAAAATATTACATACTACCGTGCCTTATTATAAATTAAAATAAGGTTCAAATCGTCTTCTTATAATTAAACAGAGATAGAAAAAAAAAAAACAACAAAATAATTAAAATATGAAAGTAAAATTTTCACTCGAGTGTGAATATGTGTACCTCACTTAAGTGCTACGAAACTATTACACGTATGTACTTACTTAAACCAAGAGGCCTATTCTGAATTGATTGAATGAATATTAGTTTAATTTTTCGACAGTTTTATAATAAAAACCCAATATATAATTAAAAAATCGAACAAAGAATACTCGTATAATAATTGTTACGTACTAGCAAAATCAAAACTTAAAAAAACAAATATCATCGCACGGATCGCTCTATACAGTTTTTTTTTAGTTTAATAAATAAGTTTTGATAAGAAGAAAAAAATATTTAACGAGTTTCGTGATCCACTGATTGTCAAGTGTGTCATTGTCATTTGTAAAACTCTATAACTAGACAAGTGGTAAAAGAAACATAAGAAGGCACTTTCTTTAATAGTAAATTAGGTACTATGGACTCTTAGCTAAGCGGAAAATATTAATCTCACATTATTGATATCATGTATTATTAAATAATTCATCCTTACCACTCATTCAGCATAAGAATGGAATATGTCAATGATGACTTTGATTTACTTCAAAAGCAACTAACAAACAGATAATTATTTATTGTGTAATAGTCATATGACTATAAGGAAATCCTTATGCTATATCTCATAAAGAAGGCTTCTTAAAATGTTCATAGAATAAGAATATTATTTTTACGCGCTTATTAAAAAAATGCTGTTTCGCAAACGTATTGTTCTTTAATTATAGTTTATCGTTGAGTAGGCAGTTATCATTACAACCGGATTTTCAATGCAATTGTAGGTTTTCTGCTTCCATACCATGCAAAACGCATATCTTGCGTCAAATGAAAACACCATTTATTTAAAGAAGAACAAAATATAGACCAACTAGCTTTCCGCCAGCGGCTTCGCCTTCGTGGTTCTGCAATATACTTATAAGGCTTCCTTTTAAATAACTCCATTTATAAATCAAAACCGTATTAAAATTCCTTGTGTAGTTTCAAAGACCTCAGCGTACAGAAGGGAATTTTATTTTATAGTATGTTACAAGATATTTAAATAAAGTTGGCAACTATTATAATAACTTATGTAAACACAGGTGTAGGTTTTACGTAAACATAATTATGCAACTGTATGGTCAAAATATTAGTATTCCTCTTAATCTTTGTATGGTTCCAAAGCAATTTGATATAATCCTTAAAACAAGGAGCGTAAGTTTATTTTTCATGTATTTCCAAACATCTATCTATATATTATTATACTTGAAGCAAAAAGTTTACAGTCCTCTTTTTATTGAAATCATTAGAACAGAAGAGTATGAAATGCAGAATTTCAGGTTTTGATTTCTTATATTTTCACGTGCACTATCCATAAATTAAACAACTTTTAAACAGTTTCATCGCATTTGTATTTAGTTTTATTGACGTTTCGGATCCTTTACAGACTCCGTGTTAACATAAGGTTAAAGTGTTGAATGTCATAAGACTTTGGTGTTGAATATTTGATTAATGTTCTCTTTGATTAAATATTTAATCAAATAACTTTTCTTGACGGAGTTTGTACGACCAGTTTTTCTCAGACAAGGCTCCCAAATTTGGAACTGGTGGTAGATTACGGTAGCCAGGGGTAGAAAAATAAGTCATATGTATTTTTAAAATAATTTAATTTGATCAATATAATCGTTGCCATAAAATATAAAAAGTTGTATTGTGGATATGTACAATAGTATTGTCTCGAAGGTACCTATACTCTTAATTAAAAAGACAATCAACATCTTTGTCCTATGTGAACACAGAACCTGTAAAGGGTCAATAAAATTAAATACAAACACGAAACCGTTTGGAAGTTGTTTCATATATTTAAAGTTTTAATTAAGAACTAACTATCCGTGACTTCGCTCGCGTATATTACAGCCTATGTCACTCGAGTATGATATAGCTCTCCGTAGGTGAAAGAATTGTTAGTTTTGGAGTCTATTCAATGCAATCATACAAAATCTTTCCTCTTTATATTATTAGTAACCCTCGAAACCGTTTGGAAGTTGTTTCATATATTTAAAGTTTTATTAAAGCACTAACTATCCGTGACTTCGCTCGCGTATATTGCGGCCCATGTCACTCGAGTATGATATAGCTCTCCGTGGGTGAAAGAATTGTTAGTTTTGGAGTCTATTCATTGCAATCATTCAAAATCTTTCCTCTTTATATTATTAGTAAGTGCGGAATGATAATATTTTTATAGCGATGCTTAAAACAGGTTATTTAATAAAACATTACACACTAACATGCGTTTGACTAACACTGACTTTAAATATGTATAAAAATAAACACTTTCTGCTTAAGTATGTGGTCGAACCTAGAAAACGATGATGTTATTGGTCTGTTATATTATTTGTCTTTAGTTAAACTAAATATCAAAAATTATTATCATAATTTCATAGTCATTGTTATATGCCTCATAGATTAGTTATTAAAATTGAAATGAATTATGGGGTTGGCTTATTTTTAACAAAAAACTAATAAAATTTCAGAATAAAATCATTTTGAAACTTATCCACTGATATATACAAATATAGCAAACGAAAATTTTACATAACAAAAATATTAAAAAAAAATCTGAAATTAACATTTTTACATTTTTTTTGACAAAAAAAGATTTACAAAAAAAGAAATAACACAAATTGTTGGTAAAAATAAATACTTAAGTTCTGCTTAAATATAGATGACACTATTTTTGAGTCTTTCATAATAATTATTATTAATGATAAAAAAAAAATTTTTTAATACTTATTATCCTATTCCCGACAAAAACAATTCCTAAATCGTATATATCAAATAGGTCCAGCCATTCTCGAGTTATAAATGGTGTAACTATCTCGACTTTCTTTTATTAATAGATATATAACCAAAAAAATGCCATTTGCAATAGAGCTACATATTCAATAATTCCGTCAAAAGGTACCCTCAACTATTAAAGTTTCTATGATCTGTGGACTGGGTTGATGGCAAAAATATTATAATAATATACTTGAGGTTGTTGGTAGAATCCTGACCCCAATTAGTGGAGCATAGAATAAGGCAGACAAAACCGGAAGGATTTATTTGTCGTAGAACATTATCTATACTAATATATATAAGAAAGATTTGATTGTTTGTTTGTTTACAACGAATAGGCTCCGAAACTACTACACCGATTTTAAAAATTCTTTCACCTACGGGGAGCTATACTTAACAGAAGCTATATTTTATCCCGAAAAACAGCTAATAGAAGGAAGATAATGAGAGTGGAAGTTTGTATAGGGAAATAAAACGTTTAATAGTAAACTATTGTTTACTATTCAATTTGTCATTGTAATTATTAGTTCTTCGACAATAGGGTTGATGATTTTTTTTGCAATTATGAGAAAAAGGTGTTACGGGTTCGGTGCTTGGGTCAATTAATAAGGCTGCTTAGCTTGAGTATATATTTATTAGTTAAATAAGGGTAATAAGAAAAAACTGTAACAAACAAAAATAAATTTATAAAAACAGTTCGTAAGTTACTTAACTAATACATACTTATCAAATAAACGAATACATACCCCTTGTCGGGCTTCTAGTTAACTTTTGGATCTTCCAAAATACAGATTACAATTTAGTAGTTACATATGTTATATAATTTGTATCACCATATCACATTATTTATCACAATAAATGAATTATTTTAAAATTACATAGTAAAATTTATACCATTAATATTGTATTGTATTATAATTTCATCTTGTGCATAGGAGAATTTCTTACGAACTGACATCCATAAAGAGTATAATTGATAAGTCAAAATTTTAAATTACGAAAGACGAATAGTAAAATGAAATGATGTTGAATTTCAAAAACAAAAAGTTTGCATACTGAAACCTAGGAAAACAAACGGTGGCATGGCACACCGTTACAAAGGGCTGCCGCTTTCAAAGACAGAATCATAAATACCAATTATAAAATCTTACTATCAATTTATGACTCATGTAAAATTATTATATGTGATTTATGAGCGATTTTATAGAATGTATTAATTTAATGTTTTATTTATGTTGTTTTTAATTTGATTTTTAATTTTTTAATATGATCTTTAATTAATCTTCGTGGCATTTAGATATGACGATGATTTAATGTATTTTAGATAATTATAATGAATTTATTTTAATTTTAAATTTTATTTATTTGTATAAACTTAAATTTTGATTTGTGTATATGAGTGTTAATGCTTGTAATAAATGGAATAAATAAATAAAATAAATTATATCCGTGAAAATTGATATTCAAATTAACAGTTCTCTAAGGACCACGCGGGCAAAACTGCTGGTGGAAAGCTAGTCTACTATATTTGTAAATACCGCTTCTTATTGTTCTTTTTCAAAATTTTGTATTTGTATGACAATATCACAAGTTTAAATATTTTATGATTAATTAATTAATAATAAAATATTGAGAACGCGGATTAGATTCACAATTACATATATGAAAAAAAAAATCTGTATTATCTTGGCACTGGTTGTTGTCGTATCTTTGCTGTTTTATGTTTCCATCATATAAGAGCGTTGGTTAACTAGCT